CCATGAAATAGCAGGGACTGATCCTTCACCATCCCAGCATTTGAGTGTCCTAGGCAGAGCACATGAAACCATTCTGACTGAGAGGAAGCATTCAGTGCACTTTGGACTGTGTGAGTGCAGGTGTGAATGCCTACACAAAGTGTGGATTTACCACAATCCACTAGAGACCATCATATTTAAAGAAGGAATTTACATTAACAATTTCAATATGATTCCGTGTTTGCTTCACGCACAATTTGACTGAATACACTGGTACATTCCTCCATATGTTAACAGGCTTAGACTGGGACAGCTTGACTTGGTTACAAGCTGACTCTTGCTGAACCACACAATGATGGTCAGCAGCCCATGGAAAACAGGGTGCAACCATTTGCTCTTTCTTCAGTGTTTCTGTTGCTCCATGGAAAATTAAGACACGTTTCACTTCTGTCCTTTCCCACTTTCTTCCATGTGTGTTTGGTTTCCTTCTTAGCCACCAGCAGGTGTGGGAACAGCTCAAAGTGTGTTATTGCACCTCCTCTGCAGATTGAATGGTGACTCTTGGAACAAGCTACTTCAGTCCCAACTGTGTTTGGGTTGGTTTAACTGAATTTAACCTCCCCAATAAACCAGACAATTTTAAATCAAAACCCAAACAGATCCCCATTTGCAAAGGTGAAGATGCTGACCGCATCAGGCAGATACCATCTGACTTGAGGACTTGTTAGCTGTATCAGATTTACTCCAGGACAAGAGAGTGCACCCACGGGTAGTAAAAATTTCAAAGCCAAACCTGTTTTCACCTGAATTATTTTTCCCTTGACTTCAATACAACAGGGAAAAGCAAGATAAAAACAAACCAGGCAAAGCATGAAGGCCAGTATATCTGTCAATGCTTCCAGAGTTCTAAGATGTGTCCCCTCTGCATTTTCACCCTGCCATTGCTTAGGCTTTAAGATCATGGCTCTCTTTCTCGTGACAGAAGTCCAAGATGTCCTTTGGAGGTGTTTGTTTCCTTTCTGCAATCAAAGATTCCACTGTTGAGCAAGTCTTTCTACTTAAAGAACTAATAAAACAGCTCTAGCAGACACTAAGGAGTGAATTCATTTTTACCAGGTCCAGCGAGGTGTCTCCAGAGGGGAGAAGGAAGCACAGGAAGGTGTGAGCATTGGGAGCCTCAATAGCAGGATAACCACTCTTGAAATCCCCAGGGCAGGGAGGTGGCTCTGCAGCCCCTTCACCTGTATAAGCAGTTAGTAGAGATTCATCTGAGCTATGACAACATCAAACATGCCAAGAGTGGATCAGCAGGCAGTTTCCTCCTCACCTTCACTATATATACGTGCCCTGGGTAGCATAGCAATGCAAAACAGTGCTGCAGTTGCTCAGATATCCTCCAAGGATTCATTTGAAAGAGATACTCCATCAAATTCCCACATTATCCAGCTACAGAGAAAGGACATTCCTGTATGCAGGCATTCTGGCAGGAGCTCTTTGCTTTGGGGCCAGATGTAATTCAAAGTTATTCTGAATATTACACTGCAGCAGCCTGGCCAAGCCCAGTAACGCTGATTATTAGGGCTTTCCTGGTTTTCCAGATGGAGCTGATTTCATCTAGCTCTCTCTTGTAATTAATAACTTGTCCCTTTTTTTCTGTTTGGAATCTTCGTTTTATCTCTAGCGTTTTGTAGGATAGTTTCCAATTTACTTAATCCAGTGCTTGCCTCCCTGGTGCACGTAGCAGAACTCATTCAGCCATACAGTTCAGTGATGTACAGCTCAAATCTCTGCTGCACAATCTCACAACCACTTCACATCGAGCTGGCATTTCTGTCATTTATATTTTATACGCTCTAAACTCACAAATCAAATACCATTTTATACTAAAGCAATGTCAATAATCTTTTTTTAAAAAAATAAAACGCCTAACCACTAGCAAACATATGGGATCTGTATGTTCTGGCCTTTAAACAAGTGCAGATTTAGCAAGGAGGGGGAGGGAAAAGGAAGAGGAGAGCCACATCCCCCCACTGCCAACGCAATGCGTGTTCCTGCAGCATCACTGCTTGGATTAGGCCCATGGCCACCCTACTTAGGTTTCAAATCAAGAAAAAAATAGATGGTATTCAATTCCTCACTACCAGTTTTTAGCAATATTAGACTTCTGCATGCAGAGGATTGTTTAAAATAGCATTCACATGAGGCTAGCTCTTTGCATTGAGAGTGTGTTCAGGAATGGGATATCAGATGTTAATAAATGATGAGTTTTTAGTCTGTAGGAGTATTATGGACATGTGTAAAATGTGCTATAGGTGGTTAAACGCTGGCTGGTTACAAACAGGGTCCCACACAACAGCAGGGATTAACCAGACTGCCTTCTTTGTTCTTTTAACTCCTAGCACGCAGCAGGGTTCAGTCCAGGACTGGGGCTCCCAAGTACTTCCACAATTTAAATAACAAATTTTAATCTGCTAGAACATATAAACAAACGATGAGTTTGAAGCGTGCAGATGAAGTGGGCTTGCACCCAGTAGCTGTGTGCTGGAGTCAGCCTGTGTGTCTGTGTGTACGTGCACAGCCCCACGTCGCCCGCTGCGGCCAGGGAGGGGTGTCAGTGGGTCCCTCGGGGGGCTGCTCTGCCCACAGGGAGGCTGAGCCACTCAACACTGGAAGCCATACAGCAGAATGTCTGCGATACCACCGGCCTGACCCCGGCACCAGTGGGACAGTCACCTCCACGTTCACCAAGCGTGGAGAAACCCAGGTGTGGGGATTTCTGGGCTTACCCTGTTTCAGGGGAATGTGGGTGGATGGTTGTTCTTGATTTTCTTTGCTCTTGTCCTCCAACAACTTAGAGCATCTGGGATTCCAGTTAGTGTCTGTTTTCGAGCCTTTGTTTCTTTATCCTTCATGCTGCACAGTGACATTGAACGTGCTTCAAATGAATGAAAAGCCTCCTTTAAAGCTAGTCACAACTCAATGCCTCTCTGTCTTTGGGACCACATTTGGGGTTTTTTAAAAGATTAATGTCCAGAGTGTCAAAACAGAGAGCAATGCATATGACTGACTATTAACTTTTAATAGAGTGCATCAAGCTCAGGAGCTGATTAGGGCCTTTATGAAGCAAGAGCAACACTAAACAAGGAAGAACTCCTAAAATCTTTCGTAAGCTGCATTTAATTAAAAGAAAATGAAATACGCAAGAGCTGATGCATGAGTTGTACATCCCACTCAATGAATGAATCATTTCCCTGCCTTCTTCTCTGACACAGAAATACCTTGCTATCCATTAAAGATGCTTAAATATTTTTACAGCTTGAGTGGACCATGTGTCACTACAGGCCACCCAGGACATGGCCATTGCAGGCCAGAGCTGGTCTGGTGTAACAATGGCACTTCTGCAATGCTTTGAGTAGAGGATGACAACCAGACTATAGGCTGTCTACAAGAGGTCATAATTGGTTGTATCACTACTAAGGCAAACATCAGCCATACTGGTGTTAAACTCACAAAGTAGAGTCTTCCTTTGTATTTCCATACCCTCCCTGAACACATACATGGTGTATGTGCATCTGGGGCAAATCTCAATCAACACAACTCTACCAACGATACCACTTCATCACAGGAACAGCACATGTCCTCCTCACGCAGGCACAGGCCCAGTTGTTACCACTTGCCCCAGTCCTGTTACTGGTAGAGAGCCGCAGGGAGCCAAGAAGCTCTAACTGGAAAGATGACCAAGGCAGGTGAGTGGGAGCTGCTGGGATGGCAGCCAGGCCCGGTGTCAGACTGGGATGCACATGGGATGAGCAGCCCCCTGCCCTGGCACAGAGCACGGACCCTGCTCCTCCCAACTGCTCTGTGAGGGGCAGGGTCCTTTGCAGACCTGCAGAGCAGCCCCGAAGGCACACGCACCTCGTGCTGCAGTGTGCTGGGGACCTGTCAGCCTCACTCACATCCCCTCCAGGGGCTGGGGACACTGCTTAGACCAGCAGCCTTCCCACTGGATCCACACAGAGCTCTGCAGTTCTGCCAGCACCGTGCCCGTGCCTGTCAGGATCCATCAGACAGCCAAGCCTTAGAAGTTAATAGAGTAATGGAGTGAAAAGAATAAAACTGCTCCTTTGTGAAGCAGCCAGAAACACGCTCAGCTAACACTGCCCAGAGCTGATGACTTTACAGAGAGGAGGCTGCCTGATTTTGGGGTGCTGAATGCAAGGGGAGGCGCCCAGGCTGTGGTGGATGCTCCACAGCTGAAGGGGCAGAGCTGTTCCCATCCTGGCTGCCCAGCACCAAATGGGATTGCAGGGCACTGGAACAACTGGGATGATCTTGGAGCACCCAAGGGGCAGGAGGACGGGAAGAGAATTGCACAGAAAGTGACAGTGCTGTGGCTGTTTTCTTTGCTGCCACCCCCTCAAAATGTCACTGTCAGCTGAGGGGCTTATGAATCAGGAGCAAAGAGAGGATCGCTCAGGTTTTGTGCCTTCAGGGACATTTCTTTATACGTATTTTTTAATGGGTGCTGGTCAGAGTAATTCAGGATGAATGATTTCTGCCACCTTCACACTCAGACAAACCCCACGAGGTGGTCAGACCCTGACATGATCCTCACGTGGCAGGAGCAGGTCCTCTGAGGGGTGTGTGCCTGTGCAGCAACGTGACCCCCTGCGGGCATCAGGAGTCAGCTGGGTCCATCGCGTGGTGGCCCTGGACAGGGCAGAGTAAACACGTGTCAGACTGCAACCACGCCAGGGACCACGGTCCCGGGTCTGCCTGCCACCACCCATCACCTACGTGTCCTCCTCAGAAATCACTGCAGAATTAAAAAGCAAATTTGTAACGTCAATCAAACACAGGCTACAAGTCTGTTCCCTCTCCTACTCGGGTGAGTGATGGAAAAAAAGTACTTAGAGCCAAAGCTGGTGTTTAACTATTTATTCCAGGGGTCAGTGAGTGGGAAGGTGGGTGATGCCCGACCTCAGCAAGCCATTGCTGGTAGGATGAGAGCTCAGCTGGAACTAGTTGACAACTCTTCTGATGGACTGGACGCTCGCGCTGCGCGCCTGCCAGGCGTTGAAGCTGCTGAACTCTCCTCGCTCCACCACGTACATACGGCCTCGGTAGTTGGGCTCCTCGTACAGCACCCACCTGAGCACAAAGAGAGGGTTACGTGGGTCCCAAAAACGTGGTCATGAGTGGCTGTGTTTAGACCCTGCAGTACTCCAAGCTACCGGGGCCCGATGGTCCCTCTGCAGCCCCAGTCCCGTCCTGGGCACAGAAGTGCCCCCAGAGGAGTTATCTGCTGGTGCTTCCCCCTGTTCCATCCACAGCCACACTAGACCTTTAGAAGAAGTTGGTTTGGGTTACCCCAACGATGAAGCCCAAGACCACAGGCTCCCTGCTTCACAGTGCTGTGGGAAGGGATCTCTCTGAGCTTCGTTATATGCAGCAGAAACTATTTAATGGCATTTGATAGTGCTAAAGAAGGACATGAGTCCTTGCAGCCCCTGGGTAAACCCATTCTGGACTGCAAGGAGAAATGTGCAACACTTGAAATATGTTTTACCTCCTTGAACTGACCAGCTATGATATGAACCAGATTTAATAATTGTTCTCTTTGCTAGTAATTCTCAATTATCTCAAAAATCTCTCTTTGATCCTCTCCATCAGAAAGATTGACTTTGCTTTGCTATCTTCACTTTATCTTGACATCCAGAGTTAACTAAAACTTTCCCATGGAATAAAGTCAAAGGGATATAATGCTCAGCATCCTTGGTGGCTTTGGCATGCCTGACTTCACCTAGCTTGGCCAAGTCTTTCTCCATTGGCATGTCTGTTGGCATGTCTTTCTCCCTTTGAGGGTCTTCAAGTCAGGAACAATTCTAATGGTCGAGGGAGACAAATTTTGCTGCTTTTCTATCCCTTCATCTCTTTAGTACACATTGTGCCGTGATCTTCCTTCTGTTTAAATCTCCCAGGCTTTTAAACCAAGTTTTGTTATTGCTCTGATAGTTTTACAGGCAGCTTTCTACCCCATCATTGCTGAACTACTCATGTCTGTGTCTTTCTTCTCTTCCCAGCACTGTTAAGGATTTTATAAGGATCTCTGCTGCTTGTGCCATCTATTGGCTCTGCAGTGGCAGCTGAGCACAAATGTAGTCCTCCAAATAATTTGGTTTCCGTGGTCTGTGTCCTGCCAGGAACTCAGCTGCTGTTGGGACAGCGGGGTTGGGACCTACTGTATGTGGGATTTCCAGGGAGAAACTCTTTAAGTACTGGATGAGTCAAAGACTGCTGGGCCTCCAGGGTCAGACAACAGCTGGTGAGCTCAGATCAGTTTGACCCAGAGCAGAAGGCTGGAGGGCCGGGAATAGGTTGTTCATAAAACCAGCCATCCATGGGCAATCATGGTTGGACTCAATGATCTTAAATGTCCTTTCCAACCATAGTGATTCTGTGACTCTTTTTTAAAAGAGCAGGAGGTTAGGGTATTGAGGTGAGCCACTTTACAGATTCCTTGGCATGCTTGGATTTATTTTTTGTTTCTGAGAGGACACCAGGTGGGACTGCAGTGGGTCCCTTCTCCCATCTGCCTGTGCACTGCTGAGCACACGCCTGCCTGGTGCCCCTCTCTGCCCTGCTGCCCACACAGCCCTGTCCTGCAGCACCTCTCCAATGTGCTCAGCCAAGGCGCTGGGATCCCGAGCACTTCCTACAAACAGACAAGTTCATTCTTTGGCAGTTTCTGCAGCCAGTTCAGATCCCAGCTGGAGCTACAAAGCCATCCTCAGACTTTCCCTGGGAAGCTCACTTGGCAGTGTGTGGAGAAGGCTACCTGCTGCTCTTGGGAGTATAATGGCAGGTTGCCCTGAAGCTCTGTCCCCCCATCCCATATCTTGATGTGCACTGTCAGAGAGTGTGCTCAGCTCTTCAGTTTAATTAAGAACAATTTATAAAATTATCATCATCCTTCAGATACACCCCAGCCTTGTTCAGAAGGCACACGTGGCTATCTTCCTTTTCTACCCCATCCCTTCATCTCATGTGCACCTCATTATTTCTGGATGGTCATGGGCCTCTTTCTCCATCAGCTTACCATGCCTCCCTCAAGCAGTCCTGAGAAGAGCTCACAATTCTATTTTCTGAACCTTCCAATCTCTCCCTCCTCCTGAAGCTACCTAACGTTATTGAAAATACTGCATGGTGGTAGCACAGGGATGCTCACAAGGACATTGCTGGCCCACCAGCACATGGTGGATCTTCCAGCTCTGCCATGCCTTAGAGCATCTTTCAACAACTGATGGACCCTGGGGAACGGTGCAGGGGGTAGAGCAGCCCCTCACAGCCACTGCCTTTCCCAAAACTTCTGCATTCCACTCCAGACACACGGCTGATGTGTCTGCACAGTCGCATGGAGGGAATGGGACAGGCCTTGGGGTAGATGGAAGCAGACTGCATGGCCTGGTGTGGTGAGAAGAATCCAATGGCTTTTCCCTCTGTTAAGGGGAAGGCTGCAAAAGAGAGGAATAAAAGGAATTGCAGAAAGATGTGAGTGAAGTGTATTGGCAATGCAAGGTGATGAGTGAAGGCTTGTATGGCTTACTTAGCTGTTCTTTTATTGCCTAAAATTTACGTTCTCTGAGAGCAGCAGCGAGAGAGGAAATCAAGTCAGTCAAGAGCCCAGAAAACAGAAAAAAAAAAAGATGATCCTTTCCTCAAGCCCAGCATGGGAGAGCTGATGCAGGCACATAGCATGCAGCCCTCAAGCATCTCAGTGCTGTGTTTCATTAGCACATAAACCCAGAGGACACGGGAATAAAACTTGCATGGAACCAGCATGAGCCCTGGAAGCCAAAACTGGCTGCTCGTGCCATAAAAACTAGCAAAGGGGAGCTGCAGCATCAGCCTGCACCAAGCAGGACGCTTTCAGTAGGGCTCGAGGTCACTGGCTCACCATGCAGGACTCAATGTGCCATGAGCAGCTATTGCCTCTGCCAAGAAATATGTAACGTTTATTGTGCAGCAGTGTTTGGTACCTGCTCTGGTTGGTATTTCACAGCCCGACTGCAGAACATCTACCAAATGCTCCTAAATGCTTCAGCAGAAGGAATGGTGGATCTGATTCTTTCAAGCTATGTTACCATAGCGTAGAGAAGCCCTTTTTGGGGCATTCCCTCCCAGACTGTGAAACAAATTCAGCTTTTTAAAGTTGCTCTTTCTAAGCAATGCTCTGTGGAGTGGCTGAGGCACGGAGGAGGACAAGAAGCACACGGCTTCCTCTAAAACCAGATGAGCCCATATGTGAGAGTGGAGCGGGCTCTGCCCGTGGGATGGGCAAAGCCTCTTGCCATGCAAAGGCAACAGCTTCCGAGGGGGCGGCAGCATCTCAGGGCTGCTCCAAAATAGCAGCCTCAATTCCAACATGGCCTGAACAGCTTTCTCATCACCCTTTTGGGCTCTGTGGGGTAGTCATCGCTGACCCCAAAAGAGCAGTGGGGAAGGTGCTGGACACCCTCAGCCCCACCAAGAAACCAGAGGGATGATGTGTTGGGGGGAGTTAAGGGGGAAAATTGCAGAGCGAGACCTCAGCGCTACAGGGAGCAGGCAAAGAGCTCAGGAGGACCCAGCTCTACATCTGCTCTCGGCATGCACAGGGGAAAACAGACCCATCTTCAAGCTGGGGATGTGCTGGAGACAGCCTGAAGATGAAAGCCCTCGTCTCCAGTGGCTCCATATCCTCCTCTCCCCACACAGTTGATGATAAATCCTGGGAGGGCTTTTGCCCAGCACCAGCTACACCTGCAGCACTTCTGGGTGCCACCTCACCTGAGCTCATATGGTCCATCCAAAGGAGAAGAGTGGTGCTGTAGGGTCTCTTTCTCCTCCCTGGTGTCACCTCTCTGCTGTGGTATCTCCTCCTGCCCTCCCTCCTCCTGCAGCCTGGGGCCAGCAGGTTCTTCTGCACCATCCTGCCCTTTAGTGGCCTTCACAGACCCTTCCCACACGCTTCCCTGAATGGGAATGAGGGTCTGAATGTAATGCTACAAAACTCACCGAGTTTCCTCAACACACTCCTCTCAGGATTAGTTTTTTTTCTATTTTTCTATTGCTACTTGAAGCCTTTGAGGAGTCATGTAAACTTAACACCCAGTCTAGGCTCCCATGCGAGGGACAGCAAGCTCTGTGCCCCTTAAGTGTTTTGCAAGGGAGGGGGGAAATCAATCTGATAAATTTAAGTGCTTGAAAGTTTCTGGGCAGCATCCCAATTTCCCAAGTTCCAGACTCTGCTACAGGGATATATGTGGTAAACAGTTGGCCCTAAAGCTCTTTCCAGAGTCCCCACAGGCTTTCTCTTGGCTTTATAGTGTTGGTACTCAAATGCCTTTTGCTTCAAATACTCGGGGCTAGCAGGGTCTCTGATGGGCTCCAGTCATTTCTTCCCATCAGGACCTGGTGGCTCTCCTCCTCAGTTTTAATGAGCCACCACTGCCTGACCATAAGTCTGTTTTTTTGGAAGAGGAGAGACCTCAGCTGAATCAGAAAGGGTCCTGCAGGACACTCACCATCAGGATGTCACAAGCTTGGATGGCAACAACCTTTTTCCTACTCTGGGAAAAAAATTGCTGTTGGACCTAAAGGGTCCAACACCCCTGTCTGGGTGCGGGTGAGACACGCAACCTCCAGTCCAAGACAGGTGGAGAAGAGCATTTCTGCACCCCCTCCTCTGCAGGGGCTCCCCTCTGCCCCCTGCCCCCCCCAGCCACGCTCTGCCTGGCAGGGTTTTATGGCATTCTCCCACTCCCAGCACACTTGCAGTGAAAATGCAATTGTCTGGTAGAGGAGCGGGGAGGGGAGATGCCCAGATGACAATCTACCTCACAACAAGAGTCAAAGCCCAGAAAAAGGATCAACACAGTCTAAAAAATGCAAATTGCCACCCAAGAGCAAGAAAAAGGCAAGTTGCTGCCCTGCTGAGGCCTCCAGGAGCATCTGCAGGGGCAGGAGGATGGGGCTGAGCACCAGCTATGCAGCTGCACAGTGGGGTCATGAGGCACCAAGGGTGACCAAAACCCTCATGGGGGAGGCTGTGCATCGCCACTGCAGTTGGCCCAGTCTTTCAGAGGCAGGATTTAATTTTAAGGTAAGGTGCCATTGCCTCATTTCTGCTGTCCAAGGAGGAGGTTTCTGGGGTTGCAGCAAGCCTTGGTGAAGCCACTTGCAAAGCAAAAGCCCTGACTTGCATCAGCTGGATCCACCCATCCTCCCTCCCCAAAAGCCTCTGTGGAGATTTTAAAGACATGTTTGGAAACACGTACAGAAACGTTAAGAAACTATTTTTAGGCTTGATCTCTACACCTTAAAAAGGTGTCTCAGAGCTCCTGTAGCTTGTGCTTAGCTGCCACCCTTCAAAAACTTGTGCCGCCTCCGAAGCAGCTCTCCATGGGCAGGCACCAAAATTAAGCCAGTGGCTTAACTCACGTTTTTAGCCCTTCCCCAAGTGCCCCCACGGGCACAGGCTTCCCCAGGGCGGGGGGAGGCCCCGCAGCCACCTCGCCCCCTGCGGGGCCGGTACTTACGCGCCGTCGCCGTAGACTTTGAGGGCGTTGATGCTGGTCTTGTCCCAGCCCTGCCCCTGCAGGAAGGAGCAATCCTCCGTCAGCTCCAGGCTGGGGCCGCTGAAGTGGCTCCCCTCAAAGATTTGGATCCTGTAATTCTCGCCGTGCTGGGGACAAATGGATTCGAGTCAACGACAAGAAAAATGCAGTGAGTTGCAGCCCTGGCTTTTATAAGTCAAAGAGGAGGATGGAAGGGTGCTTTGGGAGGGAAAGGTGAGACACAGCCCAATGCCACCAGTACCAGCGTGCACAGGGCACGCACAAACTCCTGTCACCTCCCCGCACACTGAGCCCACCAGAAAAGCAGCCAGAAAACCCTCGTCTCTGCTCCCACCTCCACCTTCCTACAGCTGTGCAAACACCTGGCTTGTGGGAAGTCTGGTGCTCAGGTACACGAAGCTCCTTGTCCATCTGAGATCCCCCCACCCTCCAAACACTCCTTCCTAAATACAGCATCAGTTGCAGCCCTGGCTCTGCATGCAGTCACACAGCAAAAATATCTATCTATCTATCTATCTATCTATCTATCTATCTATCTATCTATCTATCTCCCTCTCCAGAGTGCACAAAGATATTAGGCTATTGCCCTAAACTAATTTCTATTGCCTCCCACTCCACGTGCAGTAGCTGTTCATGATGGGAGATGCTGTGCCTTTCTCTAAGAAAAACAGAAAAGGGGGAAATAGAAGGAAACTTTCCCAGCAACGTTATTGCTGTGTAAGCCCTTCAGGGTGACATGACATAAATTCCTCCAGGGAGACTTCTGCAGCCTGCAGCAGAGATACTTGGAGCAGAGCGAGCTGGAAGTATGTTTTTAAGCCAAATCTGAAGAATACCTAGGTGCATTTTTCAAACAGCCAGCGTCAGTGCATGAGCAGGCCAGGCTGCCGTGCCAAAGCCCACAGCAGCCCAGGGGTCTGTGCCCGAGCAAACATTCCTCTGGGAATCTGCGCTGCAGGAAAGCCTCGAAGCACTCCCTGGCACCTCCCAGGGGAAACCGTGGGCCAGGCAGGGAGGAACACATCCTCGTGCCAGCCGGGCTCCAGGGCCGGGGCAGAGCATCCCTCCAGCTATGGACCTCAGAGGTGCTTTAGGAAGGATGTTGTGGAGCTGAAACGAACACGTAGTTGTGCCAAAAAGCAGCTTCGGGGCCAGCGAGGAACTCCAGCAGTTCCAAGAGGGTTCATCATTGCCCCAGGGATCACAAGTGATAAGAAATTCAAACGGAAAGACCTAACCCACATTCATGATTCTTTGCTTTTTTAAAATGTTCCCGATTAAACCTTCCCCGCAGCAGTGCTTGTAAGAGTTTTGTAAGGGGAGGGTTATTCAGTAGGGGGGAAGTTTAGGATTACTGGGGGAGGGGTTGGAACAGCAGAGAATTCAGCTAAAATCTGCTAGGAGCAGCTCAGCTGCCCCATAGGTCTGGTTTGGAAAGCCTTTGTGTCCCCTTCCAGGGGTGTGGGGAGAGACTGGGGCTGCTACAGCTCAAACTTGCCTTGGACAGTGAACTTTTTCATTTCCCCATGAGTATTTCATAGTAAATCCCATGAAAGAGGAAAAGCACCAGCAGGACCTTGTCACCTCATCTGAAAACCTACAGGAAAATCTCATCCTGTTAAAGCTGCTGCCTTTCAAACCACAGGAGGAAGTTGATGTGTCTTCCTCCCGTCCAGAAGACACAGGAAACTGAGACTCGGCTTTGTGGCTTGTGCAGGCCACTCCAAGGGCTCAAACCTTCCCTGGGAGACTAGCTCCTTCTCAGCAGGACGTGTTCATCCGAAAGAGCAAGGATTTGTGTGACACTCGTTCATGGGGCTCGTGAAAGATGACACCCACAGGGCAGCTCTGTCCCACCGTGGAGCAGCAGCAGCAGCAGGCACTCACCATCCCGATGGGCCGGCAGGAGCCCAGGTGGTCGCTGCGGCCGTTCCAGTGATAGAAGTCGGGGTACTCGCCGTGCTCCAGGACGTACTGCTGCCCCCGGAAGTCAGGGTGATCGAAGCAGACCCAGGCCCCGCTCTGGACGCAGATGGAGTTGACCCGGTTGAGGAACCCTCGGTCCTGGAAGCTGCTGCAGCTGCCACAGACCTCCAGCTTTCTGCCCGTGAACCATTTGCCTTCGTAGAAAGTGATCTGGGGGGAAGGAGGAGAGCGGGGCCGTGGTGAGCAGGGGCACGACCCTCATGCTGAGCAGATGGGAATCTCCTGCAGAGGCATCGCTCTAGGATGGGTTGGGTTTTTTTCAAGCTCCTTTCCAGCAAAAGGAGCACAGCAACACTGGCATCTTTTCCTAAGAACTGCATTTGTTTTTCTGGGAACTCAGAGCATCCCACATTTACGACGCTCCTCGCTGCCTTGTGCTCGCTCACACATCTTCCAGCAGGA